AGTTTGCTTTGTAATTGCTCATTTATCTGTTCCTGTCATTTATAATAAGTTTTTTGTTTATTTGATTCCTATATCAATCATAGTTCTAATTTATATTAAACTTGTGAAATATGTTCGAGAAATGAGTATTCGTGCTACATCAACTCAAACAATGTTTCAAGCTCGACGAGATTTAGTAGTTGTACGTCGTATTATTATTATTATAATGATTTTATTGACACTTGGTTTTCCATATGTTATATTTATATTGATATCATTTATAACTAAACCTCCAAAATATCACTTACGTGCTGCTATATTCTTAGTTGATTTCTCTCAGATATTAATTATGATTGCTGTTTTTAAATTCTGTCAACCAGTAATGGATGTCATATTAAAATACAAACGTCTGGTTTCCAGCCGTGTTCAACCAACAATGACTTGAAGATATCAGGTACTAAACTTACATAAAAAATTTGTAGTCATCAATATGACTGAAATTGTTTTTGAATTCAATATTTATTTAAATAAATAACAAAATCTATTCAATTGTCAATAATTAATAAATTTATATAGATACAAGTGAAATCTTTCATGATTTTTATTTTAAGATATATATATATGCTTGTGTTTTATATATAATATAAACAAATGAATATAAAGATAATTATATTGTTGCTGTTTTTTCTTTCAGAAGAAAGCAAGAAGGAAAAAAAAGGAAAGAATTTAAATGTCAATAAATTCTTCATCGTTTGAATTTGAATTTAATTTTCGTTTTTTATTAGGTGATGTTTGTTGAACAACAAGTTGATGTCGTGTTAACATTCGATTCATTTTAGGTGTTGATTGATCCGATGGATCAAATCTATTAATAATTATTTTTTAAAAATAATATATTTCTTTTATTTTTAAATAAAAAAATTTACTTTGTTAAACCATTTGTATGATTATTTAATTTTTTATTATTTGGAGAATTTCTCTAAAACAAAAACCCAATAAAATAAACTAAAAAATGATATGAAAATAATACTATGTGTTTTCTCTCATGTGAATGTTGTGGTGGTGTATGACTTCTTGTTCTTGAAGCAACAGTTGATTGTTGATCATGATAATTTGAATTTGACAATTGATTTACTTCATCATCAGTTGAATCCCAACTTATACTAAAAATGTTTTTTTTTGTTTTTATTAAAGAGAAAAACAAATCATTATTTACTCCGATGTTGTTAGAATATTTCCCGTCGAACGTGTCGTTCTTTGTGTCATACTCTTTTAATAAAATATAATAAAATAAAATATTCTAAAATAAAACAAATAAACCTGATTATCTGTTTGATTAACTCTTCTTCGTGTATAAAGTGGTTCTTTAATATTTGTTGTTTTCGAAGATGTATTTGTTGATGATGAGGAGGATACACGTCGTACAGAACGACGTTTTATATTTGAATTTCTTTTTAAAATTAATTCATCACTTGGATTACTTGATGATATCGATAGATTTGAACTATTTTCATTTGATGATAACGAAGAATTCGTCGATGAACATGACGATGATTCATCAACAACGATTGATCTATTGAAAAATAATTTCATGTTTTTTTCTTGTTTTATATTATTAGATTTAACTAACGGAGGTCGACGACGACGTTTTTCATTATTTAATATTGGAGATCTTTTTCCTTTAATAAAAATCAAATTTAATTTCAAAGAAATCGGAAAAAGGACACTAACTTGATTGAGATTGATCATTATGACCATTTGAAGATGTTGAACAACCAAGTTCTTCTAATAAACTTTGAATACCTTTAGAAAATAAAATAAATATTTTATGAATTTCATTTTCTTTATAGAGAATTACTTCAACAAATCTAACGAGAGAACCTCCCTAAGTGAGAAAGCTCTTTAAGCCCCGTTTTTTGACGATAGATAGACCTCAAGAAGATTTGTGCCCTCGCGCTTTCTGTTTAGGGTTATAGACATATTCCTGAAATTTTTACCCATAGCAAGGAATCTACCTACCTATAGATCTGTCTGTAGGCGAAATCTTAGCTCGAAATATCGACATTCGATTTGTCAGTAGATTGCTTGCTATGGGTAAAAATTTTAGGAATATGCCTATAACCCTAAATAGAAAGCGTGAGGGCACAGATCTTCTAGAGATTTTTCATACCTCGTCGAAAATATGTTAGAAAAAAAATCGATTTATTATTCCGAATCTTTACTGGAACTATTTTCTTCGTATCACTGAGTTTTTTTATCTATAGGCAAAAGTAGAGAACTAAATGCTACTAACGTTTATGATTGAAAATAAGTCTTTCATATTCATCAGCAGAAAGAAATCGACTAATTTGATGAAGTTCCATTCTAAAATAAAAGAATAATATATAAAAAAAAGGTTTCGAGAGAAAAAAGAAGTATCGAACTGTTGATCAGGTAAATAATTAAATGGTAAAGCATAATCTCTAATAAAATGTTTTAATTGTAATCGTCTTTGAATAACTTGTTTATAAGAACGTAAAAGTGCTAATTTAGCTTTATTTAATAATATTCTTGAACCATCTTGTTCTTGTTGATCATTTAATTGTTGATCATCATTATTTAAAATCGGTAAACGATTTTCTGCTTCATTTAAATATTCTCTTTCATATTCATCTCGTTGTGGCATATATGTTAATAATTTTTGTTTATCATTATCAATTAATAATGGTGGATATATTAATGATTGATTTTTATAATCTTTATCATTAATTAAATCTTCTCCAATTAATTTTTTTGAATTTTTAAATGATTGAAAATAAATATAATATGGATTTGTTAAACGTGATAAATAAATATCTTCAAAATGATTTTGACAATCCAGTGAATTTTTCGACATTTTTAATCCAATATCTATCCAATTTCCTAAACCACATGATTCAATTATTTCAATTAAATTTATTTCATCTGTACACAACCATTCACTCATTATATTACAATCCAATGGAATATCAGTTAACTTTAATAGAAAGAAGAAGAATATATAGAAGATTTTATTTGAAATTTTCAAAAAATACTTTATATGTTGATAATGGATGTTGTTTAGCATGTTCTCGTAATTGATTAACATTCAGTGAACATTTAAAACAAATATTTATTGAACGTGAAGGGCTACATTTTAAACAAACGATTTCTAAAGATGATGGACGTGAACAACAATAATCACATTTAAACATCTCAAATTTAACAATTTTGTATTTTATTCATTTATTGAGATTATTTTATATTGAAATAAATTTTATCTAAAATAGAATCAGAATAACTGGGTAAAAACAAATAATTATTTTCATGATTTTAATAGTAGAGTATTTCTCATTATTTAACCATTTTAATTAATAAAACTAATACCATATAAAGAATAACATATTTTTATATAAAACAATTTTCCTTCTCTCAATTACCTTCAAAATATCTTACTGACAAAGATCAATTGTTTCAACCAATTAAACTTACTTCCTTATGTTTAAAACTAGTGTAGAAAAGATGACGCCACTATATGAGCATCAAATTTGCTTCTTTTTCGCAATTAAATATAATAAAAAATATATATTTTCTTCATTGAGTACGACTCTGATTAACTGATACTATTCTTTTTTTTCACATTTCGACATTAGTAAAACGCAAATAACATTAAAAGTTGGCTATAACTTTTCATGAGTGTTATTGAATTATAAGAAAATAAAAGTATTGATTTATCAGTTTTACGTCCATTTAGATTATTATATGCACTTAAACTTGTGAGATTAATGCCAACATTAAGACGATAATTAGTAAGAAAAAAAATTTGAGATTTATATTTTTATATAACAAATTCTTTAAGACAAGGTTTTTTAAATAAAAAGATATATTAAACAAAGGAATAGTGATGAATAGAATATGTTAAATCCGATTGATCGAAAAGGCTAATTTTTTACTTCTCTGGATTGATGTTGTAATTGTAATTTATAGAATTCGAACTTTAATCCGACTGATTCTAGTTTGAACTGCTCGACACTTGTGACAAATCTTTTTTTAAGTACATGTGAATTAACATGAAGAGAGTAAAATCTGTAGGAAGTAACCTATGCCATTAAACCTGTGTTTTTTTGTAAACAGGATCGTTTAATTAAATCTTCTAAAATATATCACATGGTTTTCATAGTATTCTCATAGTTTCAGACACAAAAGATATTCTTCAAAGGAAAAAAAATGCTAGAAGCTCGACTTTTCTTCTCATAAGGCTTCAGAAAAAGCTACTTTTACATTCATTTATCCAAGATTCTCAAAATATTGTTGCTAACGATTAGATCGATATGTAGTAGATTTAATTTTTTCTTGTGATATTTTACAATAGGCTTAGAAATCAATATAATAATCGTGTTTAAGGGTGTGGATAAGTATTAGATTACAACGGTTCCAAAAACTACCCAGAACTGGAACCGCGGTTCCGGTCCGGTTCTGATCTGTAGCAAATGAGAAAAGATCGGTTCCGGTTCGGTTCGGTTCCATTTTTGTTGGAACCGCCGTACCCTAGTGGGCGTGGGCATACATGACAAATAAAGCGAACATTCACCCACACCCTGAATCATCCACAAATATCAAAACGTACATTACAATCGTACGGAGAAAGTATATTTATCGTGAAAGTGCACGACGGTTATAATAGGATGGAGGAAGAAGACAGTTCGTTTATCTCTCTTACTAGTAGCATCATTCTGTCATCCTGTTATCATATCTTTAATACCACATTTAGATGAAAAAAAGCCAAAAAAAATTAATAACAAACTCTGTGCAAAGTCCGATAAGGGCAATTGCTCCTGTCGAAGCATCATAGACTCTTATTAAGTTTTTATTTTATCGCCATTTTTGATTAATCTTATGTTCATCTTATGCAATAAATAAAAATATGTATTAGCTTGTGAGTTTAAGTTTTTATTTTAGTTTCTAATTAGAATAGATATAGAATAAAATGAAAAAATATAATCGAATGGATGCTAACTGAAAAGAAAGAAGTTGCTTCTTGATATTTATCAAGTTCTATAAATGCCAATTAATTAGTAGAAAGAATAGAAGTACAGAAGAAAAAAAATTACTGACACGCAGATTATTTAAAGAAAATGAATTGCGAACAAAGTTCATTTTCGCAAAAATCCGTCATTGTATAAATGTTTTTGATTGGTTTAAAGTGTAATTGTTGCTGTTGATACACGTAAAACCAGCACAACCTATCCTCCCTCTTAACTACAACCGCCATCATCATAAGCATCACCACCACCATTATTAGCAGTATTATCAGCATTACAATCAGCAGCAGCAGCAGCAGCGTTAGAAGGAATATAACCACCAGGAGAATAAATATAATAAACATTATAAGCAGAACCATAACTACAATAAACAGTACCATAATTAGGATCAGTACAAAGATGACAATTAGTAACCGCAGCACAACAAACAGTATTGCAAGGAGGAACTAAAATTTAAGAAAAGTATTAATAGATAAATATCATAAGAACAGCAATGCTAAAAACCGATCGTGATTGATCGTAAGCCTAAAATTCACCATTCACAATGGTGTGGGCGTAGGTGTGGATATTTATTATCTCAAACCCGTACTCACACCCTCAAGATTATTACAAATTGCAAATAGTTTTAGCACATTATGAATGTTACATTATTGTATTTTGTACATTATACGAACAATATACATTTTTCTCTAATAATTTGAAAAGTTTCAAATAACTTACCTGTTGATGCTGCTGTTGTAGCTATTGTTGTAGTTGTGATTGTTGTTGTAGTTGTGCTGGTTGTTGTTGTAGTTGTGCTGGTTGTTGTTGTTGTTGTTGTTGTTGTTGTAGTGGTGATGGTGGTTATGGTTATGGTTGTAGTTGTAGTTATTGTTGCCGTTGTGGTAGTTATGGTTGTTGCCGACGTTGTTGTTACTGTTGTTGTAGTCGATTCTATTTTGCAGAGGTAACTTTAGAATGCGACTTAACGATTAGATACAGATTTACTCCTAATTATTTACTTCTTCTTTCTTAATTATTGTATTAGCTAGAAGTCGGAGTCCATTATGATAGAGGAGTAAATATTTAGACGGCTTACATTATCATTAGAGTATGGGTATTCATTCGTACTGCACCGACACCCACACCCTTCAACATTTATCACTTATTACGAGTAATGAATGAGCAGAAAAAAAGTTTTGTTTTTCTTCCATTTCTAAAGTTCGACTACAAGTCTTCTCAATTTGTTACTTCTATATCAACTAGTATGAATAAATACATTAATTTTCTGTTTTATTAGTTATATTCAATATTCTTCATGCTAAAAAGATGATAAAAAGGTGAACCATTATATGGCCCATCTCTATCCATATTCCTGATCAACCAGCTAACTATGAATAAAGCTTATTAAAAGAAGAAAATATTTTATATGATTTCTTTCTGAATCTACTATATTCATACTAACCAGGTGGAAATCGTGTTCCAGTAATAACAATCATACTAATAATGTCGATATCAGTCACCATATTTGCAATTGTATTTGACATATCACTAAATAATTCACAATTAGAAGTTGATTGATGAAAACTGGCTGCTCTACAAAAAGTTTGAGCTAAACAGGCCATTTGACACTTCATAATAGTCGGTGTAATGATATTAGCGAATGGTAAGCAAGGTGTATTTGTACATTCAAATTTCGAACCAGTCATTAAAGACATCAGAAATGATCGTGTATCTTCTCCAATCGAGTGCGTAATAATCATAAATATAAGCCATAAACAAATTCTTCCTGAAGCCATTACCAACTAAATTTGCAAGTCGATGAAATGAATGTATTGAGAATAAAAGAAAAAGAATCTGCTGAGCGATAAACACTATTTCTCTCTCTCACTCTTTTTCTCATTTTATTTCATCAATATAATGAGAAAACTAGTCATGAGTTTTATTTAATTTTGTAAAAACACTTATTCACTCGGAAAGACAATTTTTCTTTGTTTATATATTACATGGAGACAAATATATTCACAAACAGAACATACGTTATATGGGACATGAATAAAACTGAAACGCATATACAATGATCGACTCAATAAAATTAGATCTCAAAAAAAAAAATAATCAACATTTAGTCGCAAGTATAGTGTTTCTTATAAGAATAAAAATAATTTAATTCATTGTGTCCATATATACATTAGATATTTATTCAAACCTACCTCACAAATTATACAGTATATAAATCAATTCTTACGCAATTTATCTAGAAATAAAGAAAATTGAATAATTCTCCAAATTCAAACGCACTGGATTTGGACTTTTCGATTGACTTTAACACGGAGTATGACAACATTTCTTCAATTTTTTTTCTGTTATTCTGTATGGTATCATTTCTATTCCTAAAATTTTGATTGGTGAAAGAATATAAAGATCTGTGATTCAACAGATAATCGCATTTTTCTTCATTAATGCAGAAATGATTCACACAGTTAGAATCCATATCTACGTATGATAGTGTTGATCAAAGAAAATACATTTTGCTTATTAGATACATAAAAACAAATAGTTTTTTCAGTATTCTAAAATGAGTTTAATAATTTTGTATTATAACAACACATTCTAAACTGTTTTTTTTCTCCAGGAAAAATATTTATCCGCTAAAAACTCGCTTTTCTTTTCTTTTCTCTTGTTTATATGATGCTGTGATATATAATGTATGAAGCAGAAGACGAAGTTAGATGGACAATCTTTCTGATTATTTTTTAAAAGAAACTATAGAAACAGAGAGTATGTGAAAAGATCTAGGCTTATTATAACTACAATAGGAGAAATTATATTATTTTGCAAAAAAATGTGTGTTGAGAAAAACAATGACTATAACATATGCAAGCTTTCTGCAGATGGAAAACGGCATCTCCATAGTTACATTACAAAAATTACTACACAAAATTGATGACGTATTTACTTTCTTTCAATATTTGAATGTATCATACATAACTACAAAATAAATGGTCCTTTTTCAACGAGCAAAGACTTATTTAACTTCTTTTAGATTCTAATGACAGCGGATTTTCAATTGACGAGTATGCTTGAGTATGAGTGAGGATGCAGTTTTTATCTCATACTCACCCATCGCCCTGAGTCCTGATTATTTTTTATTTTGAAAAAATGTTATCCATTCAGAAAGATCATATGCTTCTGTTGAAATGTTATTTGAGAACAAATGTATCAATAAATAGATTTTTTGAGCTCTTGGGGAAATGAGTAACGATGAAAAACATGAAGAATAAAGTCGATCATTAATATCTAAGCGGAGAATGATCAAATGAGCTGTTTGATTAAACAAGAGAACCAAAACAAACTATACAGTCTTCTTAACCCAAACTCACTGCACTTGGATTTTGCAAGTGTTTATAACATACAGTATAACAATGTTTTGAAAATTTCGCATTTATTTTTCTGTCATATCGTTTCTGTTCTTGCGTATTTGATTGATCGAAAAATGTTATGACTTGTAACTCAATAGATAATCACATTTCTGTTCATCAATGTGAAAATTAGGATTGATGTCTATGTATAATAGTGTGAATTGAGAACAAAACAAACAGTTTTTCTAGTATTCTAAAATAAGTTAAGTAATTGTTTACCATAACAACACATTCTAACGTTTTTTTTTCTCAATAAAAATATTCATCCAGTAAATGTTTTTCTTTCATTTATATGTTGCTACGATGTATTTTGTCTGAAATAAAAGAAAAAATTAGTTGGAAAATCTTTTGAATTTTTCTTCAAAAAAGAAATAATGGAAACAGAGAGCTTCAGAAAACATCTGTCAGTTATAATCGTAATAATATAAACTATGTTGCTTCTCAAGAAAAGTACATCTAAATAAATAATTATGGCAAGAAAAAGGTAACTTCTTTTGCGAATAGAAAGCAACATCTCCATGATTACATCAGAAAACTATTAAACATGCAGTTGATGACGTCTTTTCTTTCTTCTAATATTTTGTTAAAGAAGAATATTCTTTTAAAGTTTGAATATATCATGCACAAGGACAAAATATATAATTTTTTTCGACGAATAAACATTTCTTTTTCTGCTTTTCTATCTCTCTCTTCGATTTTTTTCTCGTTTCAGTGTAGCGAATCTTTTTCTTCTCAATTCATTTCATTAGTCTAATGAAAAAAGAGTCAGGACTTTGTTTTTACTTTGAAAAAGAATTTATCCATTCGGAAAGATGATTTTTCTACCGTGTTTAAATGTTATTTGAGAACAAATATATTTATAAATAGAATTTTTGAGTTATGTAAAGTGTATGAGAAACGATCTATTTGACAAAATTGAATTTTAAAAGACAACAATCAACATTTAGTAGGAAATGAAATTTTCTGTAAAAATAAAAATAATTCAATTCATATTTATTTATGAATTCAGTACTCAATAAATACAATCTGAGCACTTTAGACGTATCTCACAGACTATACAATATATCAATGAACTGTCACGATATTCATATGGAATAGAATTGATCTTTAGTATCTAAACGGAGGATAATTAGATGAGCTGTTTGATTACACAAGACAAGCAAAAACGATTAAACATTTTTCCAAAATCCAACACACTTGCGTTCGATTTTTTGAGTGTCTATAATACGAAGTATATAACAATATTTCGAAAATCTCTCTTTTGTTATCCTATCGTGTCATTTCTATTCCTCATTTTTTGATTGATTATGATTTGTAATTGAATAGATAATCACATTTTAATTCATCAATGTAAGAATGATTGATACAATTGAGATTTATATCTATGTAGCATAGTTTTAATAAAGAATAAAATATTTTATTTAATACTCTAAAATAGCCGAAATAATTGTTTATCATAACAATACATTCAAAACTTTATTCTTCTTTCATTCGTATGTTGTTAGGATATTTTATGTGTGCAGAAAAAGAAAAAAATAACTGGAAAATCTTTCCGATTTTTCTTCAAAAAAAGAACAATAGAAACAGAGAATTTCTGAAGACATCTACGCCTGTTATAATCACACTAACAGAAACGACTTTGCTTCACAAAAAGAGAATTGCATATAAATAAAACAATGATGGCAACAAACAGTTAACTTTTTCTCAATAGAAAACTAATAAGCTAAGTTGATGACACGTCTTTTCTTTTAAAATTTGAATATAACATACACAGCTCCAAGATTAAGGTTTATTTCTGATAAATAAACATTTCTTTTCTTCTTCTTCTTCTTCGTCTACAGATTCTAGTGACAATGGATTATGTACTAAAGTGTATGTTATACACGAATATATTGACATTTAATTTAAGAAAAGAGGTGACAGTGATACTATAAATCATAATTAGAAGTTCAACCACACAATATTTGATGGTCCAAATGCTCAAGTGATTGATTGAAGATCGTTAAAATACAAGTATCATGCATTGTTACGCAGAAAAATTCTGTGATAAATCTTGAGGTGTGAGTGTGGGTGTATCATATCTATCTCATTCACACCAACATCGTAGAAATCTATGATTTTGTTAGAATTGTAAGAAAAGCTCTTGTGCATCAAATTCATCCGTTGAAATTAAAAATACATCATGCATTCTGTTTTTATTAAGGTGATATTGCAATGAGTTTTCTAATATTCTATTTTCCTCTTCGACTGATCAAAAGAATGTTTCTCTTATATATCCCAACATACACTGGTCGTGGTTATACAATAACAAAAACTAGACTTTACTCGCTGTTTGTATTCTCAAGTTATGAGAAATATATAAGCTTCAGATCTTTAATTAATTTTCATGTAAAAGTAATTTAACATAGGAAAATTCCAATCTCATATGATCATTTCTAGACTTAGATGATAAAAAAAAGATTTCACAATCAATACAAAAAACGAAGCCAAAAGACACAAACGTTTTCTTCTTTAAACTGAACAATATGAACAGAAATCAAACCAGAATACCAATTAACTTGTATTTTATTTCAGTTTTTATTATTCAAGTTTAAAAATACTAATTTTACATTATTTAAGATTGAAAACGATTATAAGGATAGAAAATTTACTTTCTTACATTAAAATCAAAGCATAACTGTGCCTTTAGTATTTGGTCTCTGATCCATATGTTGCGTTTCTTTAATTTTTGAGTATATCATGTTATCCAACACGTTTCTTCTGTTGAGACCTTGTTTATACACACTATCTATCTCTTTATATGACGAAAGACAGTTGATGCATACAAAAGAGTGGCGAAAGAAAGTAAAGAGACAGTTAGAAATTCGTATAAATATATTGTGTGTTTGATTTATTGTACGATGTTTCAAATTGTAATTTTATTCAAATAAAGATTTATATCACCACTTCATCATTTCTTCAATATCTATATACTTCAATTACGCTACAATAACTAGGTTAAAATTTACTTTCATATGAAAATTAGTAAAAAATCACAAGCTTATATGTTTCTCATACACTATTACAGATAAGCAGTATTTTTGAAACTCAGGTACTTAAAATATAAATAAGGGTGTGGGTGTGGGTGTGTGGGTGGGTGTGTGGATGTGGAGTGTGGGTGTGGGTGGGTGGGTGTGTGGATGTGGATGTAAGTGTATGTATATACTAATCTCACTCCTACACCCACACCCACACCCACCCTCAATGTCCATGTAAAAGAATGGTAGCACTTTGTTCGATAGAATGTCATTCAAAACAAGGTGGCTATGCAAATATGGGTGAAAATACTTAAGCACTTTGACTTGTAAAGTGCTTACATAGATAAAAAAGATTTGTTG